GAAAGTTCAGCTAACCGTTTCTCATACAGTGCTGATAAAAAACTTCCTCTCGATGTCGGCGGTAAGAGAAGAACCATCCAAGCTGATTGGATAAAGCGACAGGAGAGCCCGCCTACCAAAGTTTGGTATTATCCAATCACGGTAACAAATTGAATGGCAGGAGATGCTATAAGAAACCACAAACATCTTTCAAAAATGAAATCCTAGATTCTGACAAATCAGATGTGATAGCAGCACCTCCTGCAATACCATTAATATTTTGCTTCCCCAGTAGCTTTCGTTTCCGTCACAGCTATATGTCCCGAGCTTAAACTATAATACTGCAATTTGATTGGCCGCCCTGTTTTCCGTCTATCTCGTATAGTTAAAAAAGAAGCTGTAAAAGGCGGATGGATGTGCATTTGTGAAATGACAAATACCACACGATTTCAGCTTGTAGGGAAGGTTAGCTGTCTGCTTATTCTATAGATTTCAGTACCTGAACATCCTTAGATACGTTATGAAAATGTTGGTAATTTTATTTTATTTTTATTTTTTATTGGCACTTATTATTTACATTTTATATTAAGCTTCATAACTTCATCACTTTTCCTGATTTTTTTACTTCTTAAAGACTTTAACTTTCTGATTTTCTTGGCTTTATGTTATAAATAATATATATACCCCTGAGCATCACATATGCTTCACAGTTGGTCCTGGAGACCAGGAATTTAAGAACAGATAGTGGTGACAGCAGTCCTCTTTGTAGATGGTGTGACTGAAGAAGAAAACTAAAAAAAAAAACTGAAGTCGAAACAGACTAAAATCTGCAGATAACAGATTTTATACAACCTAGAGACTAGTAATTGACAACAAAACTGACTTGTGCACCTCATAAGGCTGTAGATAATTAGAATCTTTCTAAAGTTTTAATTATGTTCAGCTATAGGTATGACAGCATTTCTTTGATTCATTCTGTAAAAGAAAACAAAAAAGGCCCATATTTAGGCCAATAACATCTTAGATGCTTGTCTTTAAAGGGAGACATAGGACAGAGAGACAACCGGGTCTCCGCTTTCTTCTCATTATGGGGATCCCAGTCCAGCTGGGAAAAAGAAATATCCCAAGCGAGTCCTGATCTGTTTGACTGAGCCTGGTAGACCTCAATAGGACACGACGCTTGTTATTCAGAAATTCTTTTCCCTCATCGTACAGAGTTCATAATTTTGTCACAGTCTGCTCAGTGATTCAAAGCGTCGGAGCAGAACGGACCCCTCCATGTCCAGGATGTATTTTTAGATAAGTCAACGGGAGCTGCTTCATGAATAGTCAAAGCCTGCAGCACATCTCAAGATGCAGTCTGCCCACCAACGAAGTAACAATGTTTGTCATGTGATTTTGATCAAATCCACCAGACGAAATTAACACAGCGATTTCTCCAATCTGCAAAAACAGGCTGCAATCTATTCATACGTCCTTATCAATACTTGGTTGAAATAAGCAGTAGTAAGATAAATGTGGCATCATTCTGGCTGGATTTCTGCTCATTCATAAAGGGAATGTAAATCCATAACCCTGATTTCAAGCCAAAAACCAGAAATTTTCTGTTGTGGTTTTCCAGAATCTAAATTTTAGCCACATTCCAAAGTCAATTTTGATCCTCAATGAAGTCTCGGTCCTTCTGGAAGTAGGGTTGGGCATAGAGAATCAATCTGAACTGGTTCTAACCTTTCAATTCCCCTGGAATCATTCAAATGTTTTATTTCCGATTCCTAGTTCAATGTCTAGTCCACCGAACAGAAATGGCTACTGTCTTATATCAGTGCAAAAAGAATCTACAGGAACGTGTGGACAACTACTCGCTTGTCACAATGCACGTTAGTTTTTCGAAAGCGTAGGCTGAGATTAATTAAGGAAACGACCAGTCGGCTACATACAACACTGGTAACAGGATTCTATAATGCAAAGGCCAGTGCAAGGCTAACATATTTAATCATCAGCCTCCCCTTTAACTGGATGCACTGCTGTTTCAAGGTAGGTTTTCCTGGGAGAATTTGTTCCTCTAAAATCGTGGCGCAGCTTCTGCAGGTAGAACAGAACCTTTTTTATAATTTCCTCATCTTTCTTTATGTCTTAACAGATTCTTGCCTTGTGTCCGATTCATTCTGGATAGAATGTAAAGCTATTTTTGTCTTTTTTAGTTTATTTGGAATTGGTTGATAAAACCAACCAACGGAATGCCTGAAAATTAAACCTGAGGAACAGGAAATGATGCAGAGCATATAAACTCTAAGAGGATGCCTTCATGCTCCTACTCAACCTAGCAACGACCTGTGGTCAGAATCAGGGAAATAAAATGATAAAATTGTCTTATATATGGCATAAGTACCTGCAGCATCAGAAACTTGAGATACGTAAATGCGTTTTTATGAGGTTTTAAAAAAATAAAGCTCCACGAGAAAATGCAACTCTGGGAAAAGAAAATTTACAAGATTATATTAGAGTTTAGAGTTTGATATTTATATACTAGCTGAAAATTAATTATAGTAATGTTCACACAAGGTTTAAGGATTAAGGAATTGCATTTCATTGGAACGTTAAGACCACTTCATTCAGGCAGAACTGGTTAGCAGTTAATTTATAACATGTAATCTTTAATGATTTTTTTAAAAGAATTGGAATTGAGAATCAATTGGAAACTGAATCGAAACAAGGAATTCAAATCGGGTGATAAAGACCTAGAATGTTTTTAAAAACATTTTTACAAATTCTTTCCAAATATTTCTCTATAATATTATGTGTATTTTTATGGTTGCAATTCACAGCCCCAAAAATCAAATATTGCTCTTTAAAACCACAACCATTTTGAGTAAGCTTTTCAGTCAACCAGTGATATAATGTGCAAATTAAGATTATTTATTTAGAAAAAACAGTCTACATTACAGCAACATTTACACCCTGACAACGCAGTCATTATTAAAAGGAAACTTTTTATGATAACATTATACAATATAACAAAGACTTGTTTGTAGATAATATCATGCTCTTAGCCTTAAAAACATCCTATCGTCTACTTCAATGATATTTTTATGATACCATGGGCCAATACGTCCTTTTATCCTTTTATCCGATTCCAACACTTTCACCTGATTCAAAGCCTGCAGTTTGGTTAGCTGGTTTCTCATGGGACACAGCTTGGTATTCTTATAGTACAATGAAGAGAAACAGAAATGGATAAATCAAGACATATCAACCTTCTATAGTAATCTTACAAAAGCCTCAACCTAAATCCCATTTAAAATTCATGGAATATGCTGAAAATCAAGCCGTCCCCAGAGACAAAACTATTTAATCAACTCCAGCTCTTCCGATTCTGACAGAATGGGTAGTTGAAATGGTCTGGACTGAATCCTACCAGAACTGTGAGCTCATCACTAAATAACAGCAGTGTTACGGGTACAAATTATATAGGAAATTTAATCAAACATGATTTGATGTGTGAATGGGAGAAAATCCACAATAAATTCAAGCTTCTGCAGCCAAGTCATTTTTTTTATTCACTCACTAAACTCACTAAAAATCATTTCTATTCAGAAAAAAAAGGTAAATAAAAATAAGAAAATCACCTGACCAGGATGCTGCATAGGTATTAAGCATGAAAATTGGGAGGCACTAGAGGCAACAAGGCTGGAATGTATTTCTATGCATACTGAGGCACTAAAGGAACCGGATTAGAAGCTTTGTTTCACAGTTATTGGATTTTTGCTCAGCAGGAAGGGAATTATTCGTAGACGAAGGGGAAAATAAAAACACTGAACCATTCTTGTTCAAGAAAATAACCTAGTGTAAAAAAAATAATAAATACAGAAAGTTCAGTAAAACTGATAGAAACTGTTTGGAAGAACTAGGTTTAGTAAAAAAAATATTTTTAAGCTATGAGACTGGAGAGTCCCACATAACGTTTAATATAGCCCTGGCTGTGAGCAACAAGATCCAGTTACAAAGATATGATTATAAACAACCATAAACCACAACTGATTATTTTCTTTGTTGACACAGTGATCTAATCCTGCTTTTAAAGTGATGATTTCAAACACATTCAACTTTGAAATCATTTTGAAAAGGTGCAAAATAAATTTTCCCACTTTAATTTCAAGCATGTTTTTATGGAGCATTGAGTAAAACAGCCTTGCTGGGCACTGCAGGGTCAGATGGCTGAAAGAGGACTTTCTGTTTTCCCCCACTTTCACTCCTATGAACCTGTGGTTGCTTTAAAAGCTAGAATTCACTGGTTACAGATGCATATAGCCAAAATAATTAAACAGCTAATACCAGGGTCATGAATATATGGTTTAGTCTAAAAAGGCAAATGGGGAAAATGGGATATCCTGAGTAATGACATTTCTAAGCATTAATTCTACATTTTAGCTATTAAAAAAATAAATCCCTCCAGATAACACATGAATTGTCACAATATGGGCCGCATACCAGCTCACCTGTTTGTTCAATTCCATTTCTACATAAGAAACAAGAAGTTCAATGACCTTTGATGACAGGATAAGAGTTGCAAACAAGGAGCTAAATATTACTCAAACTGGCAGACTCCTTCCACATCTTGGTAATTAAACCAAATTAAACATGTAAAAAAGTCTGCTGCCACAGATCAGGCTCTGCTAAACCTCCTGGTGGCTGAAAGGGTAAACATATTTGAAAGCAAAATAAAGCTATCTTTACCTCCGCCAAGGAGGATATGTTTTTTGTTAAACGTGTGTGTGTGTTTGTTTGTCTGTCCGTGTACAGGATAACTTAAAAAGTTATAAATGGATTTTAATATACTTGTTACCAGAGGTATTCCTCATTCCAAGGAGCAATCCATTTAAGTTTGGAAATGATCCAGATCATGGGCCAGTTTTAGCTAAAGGTGTAAGTCACAATATGGGGCAAAATGTGCTGCTTGGTGGAGGTCTGCGCTCTCAGAGTGCTTCTAGTTAAAACTAAGCTGCCACACTGTGTTAACTGACCTGAATCTCCTCGAACGCCTCGTCAATGGTGGTAACCTGGTGCTGCTCATGCAGCGCTGGCTCATCACAGAAGAAGCAAACCAGGCTTTTGTCCGTTAGGCAGAAGAGCTTGACTTTCTCGTGGTCCTTGCAGGGATAGGAGCTCCTCTGCGCATTCAGGATGGCGTCTAGCGGGAAGGCCGAGTACCGCTCCACAATGTTGGACAGCTTGAGGCTTGGAGACAAGAGAGGATCAGCGAAGGTCCTGCGGCACTCTGGGCAGTCCCGCGTCCCGTGTGGCTCCTGCCTGCTCCAGTGCTCCGTGATGCACTTCCTGCAGAAGTAGTGCTCGCAGCCAAAGCTGACAGGGTCCTGATAGATGCTGAGGCAGATGGAACAGAGGAGCTCGTCCTTCAGACAGCAAGCCATTTGCAGAGGAAGAGGCTGAGAAGCATTTAAGATGACAGTGTTCTGAAACGGAGTGCACTTGGTTTAATCTGTGAACCGATGGTTTATCCCCATGCAAGTGCTGCAGACTGAGAAGATCTTCAAAAGGGGTTCAAAATAAATTTGTGTTGCTGTGAGAGAAAGGAAACAAGGAAATCCATTGCATTAAATATTTTATCAGAGATCAAACTGATGTTTAAAAAAAAATAGTAATAAGAAGTAACGCTTTAACTAAATGGACTTTGATAAGAACTCATTAAATATTAAATTCTTTTTATGAGCTTAAGGTGGCTGCCACAGATCTAAGTCTAATGTGATGCTGATAATGAAAGGTACTTACACAAGAGGCATTAAGCTATCAGGAACTCAGATTCACAACTATGAAAAGAAAAGCTAAAGAAGAAAAAAATAAAAAGCTTTTGGCTTCTAAGAGCCAAGTTTCCATTTGTTGTTTTCAAGCTGTTTTTAATTGTTGCATTGCTGAAGTATTTTAAACCCTTAGACCAGGAGTCTTCAACATTTTCCAGGCTAAGGACCCCCCAAATCGATGGCGTGATGGAGCGGGGACCCCCTAATTATATATATATTATATGAAATAGTGTTATATCATACTGGTCCTATAGCCAATCTATTACAGACTGAGTAATGTAATGAAAGTAAAATCGCCCTGGGATTATTAAAGCATTTCTGATTCCTGGTTGATGGGACAGGTGTTGTGAATTCCAGAGGGGACCTAGAGATCCCCCACAGAAGAACAACCTTTGGACAAACCGTTCTATCAGTCAGAGGGGATCACTTCTGGAACAGCCTCCCAACAAACATCAGGGAATGTCCCACTTATTGCACATTTAAAAAGCACCTCAAACAGTTTCTTAAAAGTTCCCAGTCATGCACTCACTAATTTTATTGTTGTAATGTCATTGTCTGAACGTGTGTCTATGTGTTTTGACTGATATTGTATTATCTGATCTTGTGTTGTTTTGTCTTTCTGCCTCAGGAGGACAGATGTAAATTAGCAACTATGCTATAATCTAGCTCATTTACAATCTGTACAGAAGTATGGGATTGTTCATTAATGTGCTCTGTCCTGATCAAATAAATAAATAAATGACACAGTGCCCAGCTTGAAAGAGCTCCTGTGTGTCGCTGAATGTGTGCATTGATGACATCCAGTTGATGACATCTTCTGCCTCCATTTATGTTGTTGCTAGTGGAAAAAAATTGCCAACCAAAACTTTTGCGACCCCCATGCAGTACCTCTGTGGCCCCCCTGTTGAAGACCTCCACCTTAGACGGCTTCATACTTTTTAGCATCTCTACAATGGCAGACACAGATGCATGTAGTTATAACAAGACTTCTGTTAAAAAAATATTTTGTCAAATTCTCTTTGGAAAATCAAGCTCAGCAAGACTGGATGAAGAACATCAGTTACACAGACACAAAATAACACAAAAATCAATTCCTCAAGTCTTTTTAACACATGAAGACACTTTGATCTAAACCAGTCCTCTGTAGCTGCTGGCAGGTCAGCATCTGCCTTTCTCTCAACATGGCTTCTTTTAGGACTGTCTTCTATCAACTCAGACAAGGAAAGAACCCATCTATGGTTTTCCAAGATCCTTATCAAGTCATTTGTTAAGTAATGTTTTCTACCTGACTTATACAGCACAGCCCTTAAAAAACAGAATGGTTCAAATGATTGCTGATCTGTGGAAGCAGTTGATTTCATTTAGGACAATTTGAATAAAGGGGGGCAAACACACACAAAAAAGTATCTTCTGTCCAACAACTGTTGCTGAAAATGACAGAGCTTTCTTTATAGTCAGCATGGAGCTGTATGTTGAATGGGTTCCATACAGCTTACTCCACAGTTAAGTTTCACTCTGACAGCTTCCCCCTCACCTGCAGCGAAGGTTTTATGGAAAAGCTTTCTCACCATCTACTTCCTCTATCGCTTATTTTCCCGATCGCTTTAATCCTTTACAGCAGCAACAGCAGCAGCCTGCCAGGCGACCAACAGGCAAACAAACACCTGAGGCACTATCCTCTGCTGCTGTCGACCTCCTATCCCCGCTTTAGGAAGCTTTCCTTTTAAATTCCCCCTCATTTGGAGAGTTTCTAGAGCCTTGAGCAAGATATTTTAAACCGTTACATTCAGTTAAAGATACCCCGAGTAAGACTTTACTGTAGAATGGAAAAGTGTTTCATTTATTTAGCCTTATTCGAAATCTAGCACGATCTGTAAACACAACAGAAGGCGAAAAAGCCACAACAAGGGGATGAATGACACAATAAAAGGCGTTGAATTAATTAATTAACCATTCGTAATTATGGTATATAACTAGTGATGTTATGAGATGAGCCGAGGCTTCGAGGCGTGTGTCGAGTAATGGAGGGGGCGTTTCCCTGAAGCGTGTGTCGAGGCGTGATTCATTTAGAGGAGGGGCCAAAATTGATGACGTCCGAGGCCTCGCTGCCATGAAACCACGTGACCGCTTCGGTAAGCGGTTCGGGAAGCGCAAGAATTTTGACAGGCATCTAAACAGCCTCAGTGTTCAGTCAAGATGTGGGAGATTGGAGGAGAGCTGCGGTCAGCTGGATAAAGTTTGGATAGATTCTAAGAATAAATTGGTTGTTTTTCCAACCAATCTAGTTGCTTTAAGCTAATTTGGTTTGAATAAACAATGTAATGATTAAAATCTGAGCAAACCACCAGACAAAGCCAGTGTTAATATGTCAGTGTTAAGAAGTATTTTCTCCCACAACAGACCATCTAATGAGTGGCATCCTCTGTAAGGGACAGACTCTCATGCTAGAGGTTGATGGTTCAAACTCCGTCTCTCTCTTTTGAAAGTTGCAATTAAACTTAATTATTTTGGCTGATGAGACGAAACTGCATTGTTTTGCCCGAGTAAAAATATAGATTGGGAAAATTAGGTCGTTTTAGTAAAAAGATTGGTTGAACACAACTTCCAACCTGATTAAAATAAAAAAACATGGAAAAACTATTATGTTTGAATAAAAAAGACTAACACCGTTCATTTTGTTCATCATTGCCCAATTTGCACAAACACTTTCACGGTCTGCTTGAGGTTATTTTACTAAAATGGCAGAAAAACTGTGCACCTTAAATGATTGCTCTAAGAAATTTTACACTTAAAAAAAAAAAAAAAAACTTATAAAAAATTTATTATACACACCAACCATTAACAATTTCAAGGGAACTTAAAAGGGGAAAAAAAGAAAAACAATTGCAAAAAAAATCAGATTTTAATACAAACTGTAGTTCTGCTGTCCACCAGTAAGTGGTGACATGTTCACATGAAGCCTCATGAACTGTGGGGATCGTTGAAGCAATTTGGCCAAACGGTTCAATGCCTCATGAGGCTTCATCTCACCATCACTATATATAACCTTCCTTAGACACAGATGGTGTGAACTTAACTTAATATGTCATATTTTACTAAAACAATTAATAAAAGCGGAGGAAATAACCCCGTAACCTACCGACCTCTCTGCAGGGACATCAGCGGTTTCAATGAGGTTGTCTTTTCAGGAAGAGGAGAAACACACAGCAGCAACAGACGATACCAACTGGGTAGAAAGAGGAGGGGTGTTTGGAGGAAGATAAATATAGCTTTTCACATCTAAACAACATTGAGTTAGTAATTAAATAACGTGGGATGGACAAGTGATTATAGTTTTTTTTAGGTATCAAAATAATGTACGGTATGGGTTTGAGACGTTCAAATCCAACTGTTGACCCGCTCCTCCTTTTTCTGTAAATGGAATGACCCACAATTCCTCTCTCCGGTTCTCCTGCTGTAGCAGTTTACCTTCTGGAAACTTAGCAAAATGCAACACGAACAAATACAGTTGACAAATTAAATAAATTCATTGGTTGCGTTTCACTTATGGAGTCTACGCTAATAAAGGGACTGACACAATTCGGTAATGATGTTTCATGAATCGAGTGAAAGAGTCTTGGTGAACGGGTGCGGTGCTTGTCTTCCACCAGCAGATGTCAGCAGTGTCCGCAACATTGAATAAATAAAAACGCATTAAATGGTCAATAACTAAATACACAAAATTTAAATAATGGAGCTATAGAAGAGCATCCCTGCATACTACTATCAGCATCTATCAATACTGTTTGGAAAACCTGCTCATGAGTTACTGCAACATTTAATCTGCTTTTAGAATTAATACAGTATTTTGTAATTGAATTAAATAACATTTGAATTATTCCCAGTTTACTATGTACTATTTTCCTTAAATAATTAGAGCTAAATTTATTTTTTAATGTATGTTTTATTAAATTTTATTTTATATTTAAGGCAGAATAAACTAATGTTTAAGTTAAATTAAAATTTTGAGTGCTTTGAAGATATCACTAATATGCTTCAAAAAAGTAGTCTATATGGCATATAGATTTTTCTCTATTTAGCTGAATTTAGCTTAAGCAATATTTCAACATTCTTAAATTATGTTACTGCGTGAAAAGTTAATACACCTTGCAAAAATATTCTTACACTTTTTATATATTTGACATTGCATTTTTTAATACAATAAAATATTAATGTGTCTTCACTAGGACTAAATACAATGAAATGGTGCATATGCACAATGGTGCATATTTCTCATGTTAAAAAAACTTTTTTAATGCTTTTTAGCACTGGGAAAAAAAGAAAAAAAAAACTTTGTAAAGTACAACATGCATGCACAGCCCCCTAATAAGTCATAGGACAACCTTTTAGATTCTTTGCCTTGTCTCTATGAGACTACATGGAAAAACTGAAAACCTTTGTCACTTCTTTCCCTGTAATAGTTAAACTCAAGCCAGACTTAATAGAGAACATCTTTAAACCCCAATTTTGAAGTCTTTCCACACATTCTACACTGGATTTACTGCAAGTCTGAAGTTTGACAGGGCCATCCTTATAAAGCATAAAAAAATTTATATTGAGTCTAATAGCTGTTATTGCCCTACTCAGGGTGAAGCTCTGCCCAAGCATTTTGAGGATTCAAAGGGGTTTCCTTCCAGGATTGTTCTGCGTTTAATTAATCCCATCTTTTAATCAACTCAGAACCAGAAAAGAATCCCAACAGCACGCCTTTGAGTTCTTCAAAGGCTTGGATTATGTTTTACAGGCAAAAAAAAAATAATGTTAACATTTTTATTTAAGCCCTTTGCCGAGTCCACAAAGACAATTGGGATGACCTACCACTTAAAAGCATAGGGTTAAGGGTTCAGTGTTACAAGGAGTGAAATTGAATCAGCATTAATGTGTTTTTTTTTTTACATTTCTCAATCAGTTGACTTTATTTAATAACCTTCTATCCTGAAATACTGAAAAGGGCTCATAAAGATTTCCTCACAATAAACTCTTTATGCTAGTATATACATATTTTTTTTCCACATTGGTTCATAAATAAATCAACTCACTTGAATGCCCTTTTATTTTGTTAACACTGTACAAATCAGAAACGAATTTAATATACAAATTTGTAAAAAAAAAACTTTTATGTACAGTATGCTGTATATACATATAAACATAAAGTAACAGCTTAAGAAAAACAGGTGTCTGGCAACACATTTGTTAAACCAAAAAGTTTAGTTACACATAAAAAAAAAAGTTCAGATAATACATGAGTTTTCACGTGCAGACGGTGGGACTCTCCTGGACTGATATCAAAGACAGTTTGCCTGCTTCTTGTTGAGGAGAGCTGACAGATTCCTCTTCCTGTCCAAAGGGAAGCTGATATTCTGATTGATTAACATCTGTGGGCTGAAAAGACGGCGTCCCGCAGGAACCATTTCCTATATGTAAAGTGATGTTGACGTTAACGTGGGGACTGTTTGTTAGGGGGCTGACAATCAGCGGGCTGGTAGGCTGAGAGGAGCCCTGTGTGCTGAGGCTGGGACGATGAGCCATAGGCTCAGTGAAGGACTGTAAGACCATTGGCTCCGACAGGACAGAGGAGGGATTGTCAATACCTAAAGTAGGTTGCAGAGGCCTGAGGGAGTCGTTCCTGCTGAAACCATCTGTCCTGATCGAAGTTTCGGTATCACTGCTGCTCAGACTTTGGTCACTGCTGACTTCTCCTTTTGCGAGCAAACACACTTGCTCTTGGGAGGTCATAGGTAGTGATGTCATTGGAGATTCCACAGAGCTGCTGCTGTGACCATTCTGCTGAAGAGACGAATGAGATTCAGTATTTTCGTAACATACTCAGATGTCTACAGCTAGAAGGCTAATACAGCTGTTAGATTAGATTAAAAACATACACACACACACACACACACACACACAAACACACACACACACACACACACACTTTTTGATACAATTTGGATAAAAACAGGTTAAGTGGTCACACTCATTTTGTATTTAATGTTTTTTTTATTGTTTTTTTTATCAAAAGCTAATTTTAGCCTAAATCTTGCATTCTCTATATTTCCAGCATTTTCATGCAGCATTAATAAGCATTTCATGAAAACTAAAACTATTTTTTCACAATATTCTAGTCTCAGACTTAAAACTCATTTTTTATCTTTAAGAAATTTGAACTTTCTGAAGTTTCTAGGGAGTGTCTAGGGACTTTAATTGGTAAACATTGATTCTTTTTCCAAGAGTAAAAATATGTTGTGACACAGTGAGCTCTTTATTTATACTTCTGGCCACAAGGTTGAAAGAGGAACTAAGTGAGTCTTGTAACTACATACAGGGAGAAGGACGGTTGAGCTCACAGTTGACTTATCATTTCCTTGTTTCTACCAAACTCATAATTTATGTTGAGGCAAAAATTTATGGATTATCTGTGAAGTTTTAAGCATGGCTTTCTCTGAAAATCCACAATCTCCTTTTTTAGAGTAGAATGAAATGATTCAATTCTTATGTCAATATTTGGTCTCTTAACAAATCCTGCCAATCTGAATTTAAAGTGTTTTTGACTCAATTTAGATTTTTTTTTTACCTTAATAGTAGATTTCTTGAAACTATACCATGAAATAAAAAAAAGTCTAAAAGGCTATAAAATTGTGTTTCTGCTCTATGTTAATAAAAGCTCAAAATTTGATTTGTAGTTTTGATCATATATCAAACATTTGTTGAAAAAATAAAACATTCCAGTGAAATGTGATTTAGGATTCAAAGGATTCAGAATAGATTTCTGAGATTTGCTGTAAATTTCATGGAATGCATGTTGGCAAAGCTTACCTTTATTGCTGTCTCACAGTTTCCATTTGCATCTACTTTATGCGGGAGATTTCCAGAGTCTGGAGAAACAGAAAAACATTGACATTCAGTGCAAAATGTACCGAAGTGAAATTGTGACCTTAACAGCTTTAGATAAAAATTTTACTGTGACTGATTTTTGTTTCATTAATAGAGATTAAAAGCAGAGGTAATGTAGGTAGAGTTGCAGCTCTTTCTAAAATAATGGTTCACTGATACACTTGGTTTAAGATGAAGTTACCTTTAGTCCACTTTCTTTTGCAAAGGGTCAGGAGGCAGATGACAAAAATAAGAAGCAGAAGGATCCCAGCAGCACTAGCAATGACTGCAACTGAGCAGAGAATGGTGACACAGATCCAAATTAAGATCAAACATGATACATTAACGTACTGAAACGCTGATCGTAAGTTAGTTGGACTATAAAAGGTTTACCCATTTTACTAGTAGGTGGATCTTCAGGGCTCGTGGGTCTCACGGTTAAGATAGGCTTCACAGTCTGAGTGGACTCCTTTGGGCCAGGTGGCGTTGTGGAGGTTTTGTTTACAGTAACTACGGTTGAAACTGTAATTGTATTAGGGCTTGAACATGGATTGGTGGGGCACTTTTCACACACTCTATCAGAGTTACGTGTACCTGATGAGAAAACACAAACACAGTATTTGCAAAAGACCTCACCAAAAGATTAGATAGTAAAGCACACATTTGGACTTCTAGATAATAATTGATGTATAGAAAAACAGTAAACATATAAACAGTGATATTTGAATGAGTTAATTTACCTTCTACAGAAACTCTCTCACCAGGTTTGCAAAGTTTATATCCTTTACAATCTGTGCAGTAAGGGTCATCAAACCCTAAATAACAGAATGTTCCAGTCTTGCAAACACACTTGGAGTTTCTGGTAGATGTGCAAGTCTGGGCATACTCAAGACCCTTTTCTGGTTAAAAAGAGGAGATAATGACCATAAACAGTTATTAGGAAGTAAAGTTAGGATATAGATAAAAGAATCAGGGACTGCAACATAAATGAACAGCGCATCAACTAACTTGATTTGCATTTAGTGCAGGATAGACAGTTTGGAGAGTAGTTCCAGTCCTCGATATATTGCTCAAGCCCACATGGTTCACACTGAGTGTCAGCGGTTTCAGTGCACTCTTGTTTCATCCGATGCCCTGTGAGTGAAAAGATTCAGTTACTGAACAAAGAAAATAATAACAGGGATGGTAAATAATTTCCAGAGAATACAAAGTAAATATATCAATTCTATACTTGGCTGCAATATTTCTGATGGTAACAGGTAGGGCTGGGCCATATTGCCAAGTCTAACCTCACCATATTATTCTTAATTTCAGACAGGATCATGTAATAATGATATAGATATATATACAAAATATAAGCTCAGAAAGACTGCCAAGAATGCAGCCGTCAACAGAACAATTTACAAACGTAGGGAAGATATTTTTAATAAGTTTATAAAATCCTCCAATATAAAATTTGAGAAATCCATCCATCCATCCATCCATCCATCCATCCATCCATCCATCCATCCATCCATCCATCCATCCATCCATCCATCCATCCATCCATCCATCCATCCTGCTTACTCCTTGGTCACCAGTTTGTCACAGAGCAACGCAGGAACACAGAAAGACACACAACCACTCACACTCACAACTAAGAACAATGTAGAGAAGCTAATTAACCTAACAGTCATGTTTTTGGACTGTGGGAGGAAGCCGGAGTACCCAGAGAGAACCTAAGCATGCACTGGGAGAACATTAAAAACTCCATGCAGAAAGACCCCAGGTTGGGAATCAAACACAGAACCTTCTTGCTGCAAGGCAACAGCACTACCCGCTGTTACTCCGTGCAGCCTATTTTACAAATATTTGTTTAACAAAAAGAAAAAAATACAAAATAATAAAAAGACAGAACTTAATTTAGCAACAAATGCTGTCATATCAACAGTAATTTGAGGTGAAATATATCGGAAATGTCATATCGCTTATACTGTACAAAATTATACCAGCATATATTGATAGTAATTTATTGCCCGACTGATTATAACAACATAGATTTAGATTTTATTATTACTGCACTAAAAACATCTGCACAACAAAATAACACTACTCTTTAAAACTATTGCAAACACTCACCTCCGATCACATTCACCTAATGTCATGCATCATATAATCTACTGCACTTGGTCCCAGATTACAAAAAATGTGTTCATAAAAATACTTGAAATTTAAAACTATTTAAACTAATAATGGCACAAGAGCGAAATGAGGAAGCATGCAGACTCAGTTCTGTAATGGACCTGAGAAAACAAAACATTTTCTATTCTTGAGGAATGACATTGGCGGGGCTCTGCAGCGCCTGCCAGAAATGAGAATGTAGATGATGCTGTAACTGCCCTCGCCATGCAATTTAAAGACTGGTGTTCCCCTTGTATCAGCTCTTGGGCAGTTTGTAAGAACGCCTCGAATATGAGGTTGTGTGCACGAAAAAAACCCAAAAAACTCCACATTTATTGTGTTATGCTTTGTTTTAAGTGTTTAAATGTTCAGTATTTAGCAGACTACCTGCTAAGCCGATGCTAAAAGGCTATGAAGCATGAGGATTTAGGATTAACATCAATCGTGTAAAATAAGGAATAATCCTTTTTTGAACCAGTTTCAAGATGGTTAGGGCATTATTTAACTGATATAGAATCAGTCTTAATGGCAGCTTACATTCACTGTCAGCTTTACTGGTGTTCCCCTTGTATCAGCTCTTGGGCTTTTTCTCAGTTATTGTTCTGATCACCAGCTTGATCAACAGAGAGAGGCTCAGAGTGGAGCCCCTTCTCCCCCCACATCAAGAAGATTCCGAGGTGGCTTGGACAGACGCCTCTGAATGGCTGCTGCGGGAGGTGTTCCAGGCATGTCCCACCAGGAGGAGGCTCACCGGGGTGACCCAGGAAACAATGGATAGACTATGTCTCTCATCTGGCCTGGTAGTGCCTCAGACTTCCCCAGCAGAGCTGGAGGAAGTGTTTGCAGAGAGGGAAAGCTGGCACTGCTAAACTGCTGCCCCCGTGACCCGGTCAGCCAAGTAAGAACACCACTAAGGTGAGCTTAAGATGGATGTTAAGATCTTATGGTGGACGTTAAGATCTTATGGTGGATGTTAAGATCTTAAGATGGATGTTAAGATCGTAAGATGGGTGTTAAGATCTTATGGTAGATGTTAAGATCTTAAGATGGATGTTAAGATCTTAAGATGGGTGTTAAGATCTTAAGGTGGATGTTAAGATCTTAAGGTGGATGTTAAGATCTTATGGTGGATGTCAGGATCTTAAGATGGATGTTAAGATCTTATGGTGGATGTTAAGATCTTAAGGTGGATGTTAAGATCTTATGGTGGATGTCAGGATCTTAAGATGGATGTTAAGATCTTATGGTGGATGTTAAGATCTTATGGTAGATGTTAAGATGGATGTTAAGATCTTAAGGTGGATGTTAAGATCTTATGGTAGATGTTAAGATGTTAAGATGGATGTTAAGATCTTAAGATGGGTGTTAAGATCTTATGGTGGATGTCAGGATCTTAAGATGGATGTTAAGATCTTAAGGTGGATGTTAAGATCTTATGGTGGATGTCAGGATCTTAAGATGGATGTTAAGATCTTAAGGTGGATGTTAAGATCTTATGGTAGATGTTAAGATCTTATGGTGGATGTTAAGATCTTAAGGTGGATGTTAAGATCTTATGGTGGATGTTAAGATGTTAAGATGGATGTTAAGATCTTAAGATGGATGTTAAGATCTTATGGTGGATGTCAGGATCTTAAGATGGATGTTAAGATCTTAAGGTGGATGTTAAGATCTTATGGTAGATGTTAAGATGTTAAGATGGATGTTAAGATCTTAAGATGGGTGTTAAGATCTTATGGTAGATGTTAAGATGTTAAGATGGATGTTAAGATCTTAAGATGGGTGTTAAGATCTTATGGTAGATGTTAAGATCTTAAGATGGATGTTAAGATCTTAAGATGGGTGTTAAGATCTTAAGGTGGATGTTAAGATCTTATGGTGGATGTTAAGATCTTAAGGTGGATGTTAAGATCTTAAGGTGGATGTTAAGATCTTAGGATGGGTGTTAAGATCTTAGGATGGATGTTAAGATCTTAAGATGGATGTTAAGATCTTAAGATGGGTGTTAAGATCTTAGGATGGTTGTTAAGATCTTAAGACGGGTGTTAAGATCTTAGGATGGGTGTTAAGATCTTAAGTTGGATGTTAAGATCTTAAGATGGATGTTAAAGCTACAGTGTGTAACTTTTAGCGACATCTAGCGGTCAGACTGCAGACTGCAGCAACATGAACATCTCCCCCTCACCGCTTCTCCCCCCAACAGTACGGCGAGCGTTACGGGACAAAATGTCTTCCACGACGTCCATCGCCTACCTTCTCAAGTGATGAGGTTTGTTCCATCCATCCATCCATCTTCCTCCGCTTATCCGGGGTCGGGTCGTGGGGGCAGCAGCTTAAGAAGGGAGGCCCAGACTTCCCTCTCCTCAGCCACTTCTTCCAGCTCTTCAGGAGGAACCCCAAGGCGTTCCCAGGCCAGCCGAGAAACATAGTCTCTCCAGCGTGTCCTGGGTCTTCCCCGGGGCCTCCCCCCGGTGGGACGTGCCCGGAACACCTCACCAGGGATGCGTCCAGGAGGCATCCTAAACAGATGCCCAAGCCACCTCAACTGGCTCCTCTCGACGTGGAGGAGCAGCGGCTCTACTCCGAGTCCCTCCCGGATGACCGAGCTTCTCACCCTATCTCTAAGGGAGAGCCCAGCCACCCTACGGAGGAAACCCATTTCGGCCGCTTGTATCCGCGATCTCGTTCTTTCGGTCATGACCCAGGGTTCATGACCATAGATGAGGGTAGGAACGTAGATCGACCGGTAAATCGAGAGCTTCGCTTTTTGACTCAGGTCTCTCTTCACCACGACGGACCGGTACAGCGCCCGCTTCACGGCAGACGCTGCACCAATCCGCCTGTCGATCTCCCGCTCCCTTCTTCCCTCATTCGTGAACAAGATCCCAAGATACTTAAACTCCTCCACTTGGGGCAGGACACCCCCCCTGACCCGGAGAAGGCACTCTACCCTTTTCCGGCTCAAGACCATGGCCTCGGATTTGGAGGCACTGATCCCCATCCAGGCCGCTTCACACTCGGCTGCGAACCGATCCAGCGAGAGCTGCAGATCACGACCTGATGAAGCCAATAGGACCACATCATCTGCAAAAAGCAGAAACGCAATCCTAAGGCCACCAAAACGGATCCCCTCAACACCTTGGCTGCGCCTAGAAATTCTGTCCATGAAGGTAATGAACAGAATCGGTGACAAAGGGCAGCCCTGGCGGAGTCCAACTCTCACCGGAAATGAGCCCGACTTACTGCCGGCAATGCGGACCAGACTCTGACACCGGTCATACAGGGACCTGACAGCCCGTATCAAAGGGCCCGGCACCCCGTATTCCCGGAGAACCCCCCACAGGGCCCCCCGAGGGACACGGTCGAACGCCTTCTCAAAGTCCACAAAGCACATGTAGACTGGTTGGGCGAACTCCCATGCACCCTCCAGGACCCTGCTGAGGGTGTAGAGCTGGTCCAGCGTTCCACGACCAGGACGGAAACCACACTGCTCTTCCTGAATCCGAGGTTCGACTATCCGACGGACCCTCCTCTCCAGCACCCCCGAATAGACCTTGCCGGGGAGGCTTAAGAGTGTGACTCCCCTGTAATTGGAGCACACCCTCCGGTCCCCCTTTTTGAACAGGGGGACCACCACCCCAGTCTGCCAATCCAGGGGGACTGCCCCCGATGTCCATGCAACGTTGAAGAGTCGTGTCAGCCAACACAACCCTACAACATCCAGGACCTTGAGGAACTCCGGGCAGATCTCATCCACCCCCGGGGCCCTGCCACCGAGGAGCTTTTTAACCACCTCGGCGACCTCGCCCACAGAGATTGGAGAGCCCAGTCCAGAGTCCCCAGGCCCAGCTTCCTCAATGGAAGACATGTTGGTGGGATTGAGGAGGTCTTCGAAGTATTCCGCCCACCGACCCACAACGTCCCGAGTCGAGGTCAGCAGCACACCATCCCCACTATAAACAGTGTTGCTGAGGTTTGTTTAAATAGATAATTTTACAGATAGTATTTCATTAGTCTGTGTAGGGTATAGATTTCATGTAGACTTAAGATAATAAATATACCCGTTATTTTTTCTACATCGTTGTGACTTTTTGGCGATCTTGCAATCGCTAGTTTGTTGGCTCTGCGCTGCCGTAGCGCAAAGATGTCTGCCTCCATGGCTGCGAGACCCGCTCCTATGTAATTATAAATAACGAATTCTAAGGCAACGCAAATATTAAGGTTAAGAGGCTGAGCTCATAGATGATGATAAATAACATAGTTATGTATAATATATTACATTTCTGACTGTATATCCCTGTAATTATTACACACTGTAGCTTTAAGATCTTAAGATGGGTGTTAAGATCTTAAGATGGGTGTTAAGATCTTAGGATGGGTGTTAAGATCTTAAGTTGGATGTTAAGATCTTATGGTGGATGTTAAGATCTTAAGATGGGTGTTAAGATCTTAGGATGGGTGTTAAGATCTTAAGTTGGATGTTAAGATCTTATGGTGGATGTTAAGATCTTAAGATGGGTGTTAAGATCTTAAGATGGGTGTTAAGATCTTAGGATGGGTGTTAAGATCTTAAGATGGATGTTAAGATCCTAAGGTGGATTTTAAGATCTTAAGGTGGATGTTAGGAGGTTAAAATCACTAAATGCTTTACAAAACACATAAGAAAAACACAGCAAAATATAAATTGCAATTAAAAGCTTCTCTGCATAAATATATGCAAGCTGTGGAGTAGAAATGGCAAATGGCCAGTTCTTAGCAACCCAAAGAAAGTGTGTCTATCACTTATTCATGGTGGCAATCTACATGTTGCCACCCCTCTGATAACCAGTAGCAGGCAAGAAGGATCTAGCCCAAGGACACAATACCTGAAAGATGGACAGAACGGGGACTTGAACCAGCAACCAGCTGGACAAACCCCTACTTCCTGAGCCACCGTCATCTAATTAGCAGATCTTTTGAAAGCTGTTTTTTGCATTAATTAAAACAAATCCTCTGGGTCCTGAAGCAACAAAGCAGCAGTTGTCATTTTATGTGCTATGGTGCTGACATCACCATGTTTGGCAATCAGTATGATGTTTATTCCTGAAATGCAGAGTCAGTTTTCCAGTGATTTAGCAGGAACCATATGTTGTTGAATGTTTTCATTCTCATCTCTGTCCAGAGCATATATTCCCAAAGGTCATTGGGATCATCATTATGTCTTAATGGCAATCTGAGACTCACCGATGGATGTCATTTTAACTTAATCTCTGGGACAGATCAGCCTAGAGAACATTATTTGTCGCTCTTGGGTCTTTAGCCACCTCCTGGATGAGTTGATGGTGTGATCCTGTAGTAAATTTTGGAACGAAACTGCTTCTGCAAGGCTTCAACACTATTCCATGATTCCTCCATTAGGGGAGTGGCGGCCTAGTGGTTAGGGCATAGAGCTTGGAATCCTGCGGTTGATAATGATCTCTTGAAGTGGTTTGATTCTACAATAATATATACCGGTACATAAATTCAACAATTTGGGAGAAATAAATGTGGTGATATTCAAGACTACTGACAAAATAAGGCATCAAGATGAACAATAGTTTGTATTTTAAATAATCACAATCATCAGTTAAACATTTCAAACGTGATTAAGCTTTCTTGTGAATGAGGACTGGGTCTAAATTTACCACAAAAAAAGATAAGACCTAAGCTGAAACATGCCAGTGAAGAAGTGCGTGTCTTTCAACAGTGAAGCAGGATGTAAAGCTATGAAGCGCAGGCTGCAAACCAAAGATAAGATTAACACGAACAAAGGATCAAGTTATTGCTTGCACAAGGGTAGGGGCCAGAAAGGCCTCTCAAAAAAAAAAAAAAACTACATAGCTGCTGTTCACAAACCAAAGCAAACCATCGTCAACACAGCCCTGTTATCACTTCTAAAGACAAAATTTAGTAAATGCCTGGAGTAGTTTAAATTTATTCGCCTCTGGAGGGGCGAATACATTTAAAAATAAAGAGAAAAAACACATACACTGTGTGGAATCCCCATTGAAAAATTTGGAAGGAAGTTAATTGTGCAACTGTTCCCACATATAGAGCGGTTGTGAACAATCTTGGTTGGCTATCTAATCTACATACCAACAAACTGTTTCCCGGAGAGATCAAAGACCGTGAACATCACAAGCAATTCATTTCTGTATTGCGAAAAAAAAAAGAAAAAAAAATTAAATAAAAATCCCCTGAAAATTAGCATTACTTTTCTGCATCGCCTCAAAATGAAATGGAGTTTACATGAAACTGCGGCCACTTTTAAACAATAATTATATTATAACAATTTCTTTACTTTTCCTCCTAATGTTTTCAAGCGAATGTTAAACACCACCAGCAGAGGTGGAGATTAACATCCTCACAGCATGGGTTATTTTCCTTTAAATAATAAAAAATACAGTATATAGAGGACACTCCTTTTTTATGTCCACATTATTAATTACTAAAAATTTGGAGCTGCTGCTTCAAAAAATTTTAAAGGGTCAATTGACTCCAACAACCACAGATATAATACCAAATAAGTGAATTTAGTTAATGGCGTAACCACATCTCTGATCATTTCAATGCACTCAACAAGGTGATGAAGTCATTTCAACCAGTGGCAGCTTTTAATGACAAAATGTAGCGTCAGTTTGTTCGTGGCTCTTAGTACCGCCTTATACAAAAGATTTTCTCTCACACCTCCACGTCTCGGTACTCTGTCTCCAGATCCGCAACATCATGCAGCAATTTATCTCTTAGGAATCTAGAGGTGAAACTTAATTTAATATTTATCATAATATAACTCTAATTAATGATGGTGGGTGGATTTTCAAAATAAATTCCAATCTATGGTTACAGAATTTGTCACTAACTAATAGTCCTGTTCTGACGTAGTTTGTATTAAGCAAATATTTCTTAAATTTTATACTGGGTTTTATAAAAAATATTATTTAAAGAAGACAAAGGTTTGCACAGATATTTGTTGGCGACTTTTATTTTGTTTCTGTTGATATAAGTATATCGTATAACCAAAATTAATACCGTAAATATGTTGTGATATAAATTTTGGCCAGGGAAATCTAGGTGTCTTTTGTATTTGTAAAAAGTAATTAACCTACCAGGGGGGCACTTCTTGCAGCATAAAGCAACCTCTTCATTCCAGTATTCTGTTTCTGAGTTGCGACAATTTCCAGCTTCTGGCTTATAGGGCATCGGGTGAACCTGTGTGGTAAAAAAGAGAAATATGTACGGCTTCTTTATCAATGGCGAAACAGACCCCCCTATATATATAAGAACTTTCACTCTGAGACGGGCTTATCACGCCTTACGAGAATATATCTGAACCTTCTCACATTTTTTCCTGCTACAACCCTTCACTGTAAAAAATTGAAATCCAAATATTAAATTTTTTTTCTTAAAATAAGTGAATTTTTCTTGAATTGAGGAGGTAACTGAAACACTTTGCCATTTGAACAAGACAATTTACATTTAAAATAAGAAAAAACAACTGCGTTTGCGTTTATTTCAAGCGCATATCATGTAATAATCTTATTTTAAGAGTAAAAATAAAACTTCCATTGGCAAATCATCTTATTTACCAACTCAAACAAAGATTAGATACACTTTATTTAATGCATTTTCAATTAGTTTTAGACCAATTTGCATTGTTTCAGTGTATTTTCTTCAATTTATTATTGTCAAATACAACATAGTGCAACCCAAATGTTAGAATTTTTAGAGTAAATAATTTTTTTTAACTACTTTTTGGTTGAAATCATGGCTGCATTTCTCGAAAAATAGCTCAAGTTCAGTCAAATGGAGATTATTGTCAGCACTGATTACCACAGACTGTCAATTAGGTGAAGTTCCGGAGATGAACTGGTCCGTTCTTACTTATGAATATGCATAATTTAAAACATACTATAGTATATCTGGTTGTTGAACAGCCCTAAGTCTTTTGCAATTTGACTTGTTCTTCTAGGTTTGCTGCGGCTTTTTCTCAGTCCTTCTTTACATCAACTACGACCTGATAAGAAAAGGATCGCTACAGCATGATAAGACCACAACACTAGCCTTTATCTGTAGCTCTGGCTGTACAATGAGGGCCTTCGACCAGCTTCAAGCTGAATCCTCAGACAGTTTTGGATACATTTACATCTGTGATTCATACCGTATTTGGTTCAGTCAGTTTTTGCAATGAACTCTAAACAGCTTCCTTGTCCCATTTTATAAAAACATCCTAAAAGCATACTGCTGTCACTACCATTTCTGATTATGGAATTTTTGGGGGATTAATGTACAACCTTCACCATCCATTATGCAGGTAAAAATAATTTTGCTCTTATTTCTCTTCAAAACATTTTGGTAAATTGGAATCAAGACCTCTAATGTATTTTTCAGGTTACTCATCTAATTATTTAATTGCTGACAGATTCTGCAAAATAATAAAGGAAATTGACTGCATTGCTATTTAAAGGTTAGGAGGAAAGGGGGCTGTATTCGCCCACACATTTAAAGCATTTTTTTCTCTCAAAGATCTTAAATCTATTTATAATTGCTCTCCCACATCATAAGGGTGCACTGTGCGGTGTATCAAAGAAAAGTTCATAGAAACAGACTAAAAGTGTGTATATTATTTTCTTAGAACACCATAAACCTCACCCAACTCCTTGAAGAAAACAGTTCATTTAAAAAGCAGATAACCTTAGTAATGTGCTAATTAGGGGAAAAGAGAAAGTGACCAATAAGTGGTTATGTTATTTTGAATATGTAACCCTTGTGTTGCACCAAAGCACTTACACATACACCCACTCTTTTCTGCTCTAGTAAAGCCTGACCTGCAAGTTCAGAAGAAAAAAGATCCCATTGTTTCAATATCTGAGGTGCGTTTACTTCTACATTCCTGTCTGTTGGGGCTTTCTGGGCATTTCGCACATGCAGGACCTAAAACTTTCTCTGGCAAGATGGAAGGAAGTGGGACACTGTAACCATTCACACACCTGACTTAAAGCTGTATCACCATAGCACCTATGACAAGCAAAAGACAGAATCATGCTGACAGCAGCAGCAACAGTTTCTGGTATTACAGGAAACAAGAGGCGGCAGTCTGGAAGCCCTGGGTTTTCTTTGGTATGTACAGGGACGTGTGCTCTTTAACCACAGACTGACAAGAAATACCATCTGCAACCGAATATTTTTAAACACTGACAGTTTATCTTGGCTTAATGCCTGGAAAAAATAACGAAAACAAAGAAACAGTTCCTTGTAAATATCTGAGACATCATTCCATGTTCCCGAAACTAAATACTTATAGGTTTTACTGTCAGCTTTTATTTCCACAAAGATTTAGGCTTATATTGAAAATAAAATCCATTTGATTATATAAAAACATGTGAAACATGCAATGCAACTTCTACTTTAACACAGAAATGTACTTTAAAGGACATCTACTCGGATCTTTGCTGAATAACTTGCAAGAGCACACCCTGTGTTTGTTCCCTTATAAACAGACCAAAAACAGGCTTGATGGGACCTACCTTATTGGTACTGAGTGCCAGAAGGACCACCAGCAGCACCAGTTTGTTCTTCATGGCTTCTAGAGGGTGAATTACAGAGCACTCAGCAGGCGGCACGGCATGCGTACTGCTCATGGAGGCGGGTCATCTGAGCTCAAACCTGAGCAATTTCCTTGCACTATGAAGAATGTGGAGGGAGGAAACTAGCAGGCAGACTTACCAACACTCACTGAGGCGAATCAGTAGAATGAGGTTAGTGAGAGTACAGTGACAGCAGAAGCTGCTGTTTTGGCTTTTGTGTTTGCTCTGGATGTGAGGTGTTGCAACCCTGAGACCAAACATCACTGTTAGACATCTGCAGCTGATTACAGGAAAACTGCAGCATCTGAGGCTTTTCTTGTAGCACCTTATGGACCTTTAGTTAAAACAGACCTCTTAATGCTTCACCTTCATTGGCAGCATTTAAAGTCTAAAGTCTATCTGTATAAAAAGAAATCTTTACAAATCTTATTGAAATTAGGAAAAAAATATGCTTTTATAAGACCAGCTGGAATAAGCTGCAATTATCAATAAGATAAGTTGGAATTTGTGGTTCTAACTTGACAAAATGTGTAAACATTTAGGATGTAAGCATACATCTGCAAAGCATCGTGTAAAAGGCTGCATAATCTTTAACAGTATGAGCTTGGCCATGTGAGCTTCAAAAGTTTATATAACTATACATATACATATACATATATATATATATAAATTAGGGCTGAAACAACTAATTGGTTTAATTGGGATTCATCGCTTATTTAAATTATCTTCAACTAATTTAGTAATCGATTAATCATTAAATGGATACTGTAAAATATGCCCTTAGCTGTCAGAGCAAAATAATAATATATAAACATTTTGTATGTAAGGTATATAAAACATATAATGTCTGTGTTAATATGCTCTATCCAGAACTCCATAGGTGGAAACATTTTACTTTTATCTAGTGTAATTTCATAAAAAATCTTCTTTAAAGAACCTTTGGCTATCTGATTATTAATCAATGAATGGAAAAAAAAAAGCCAGATTAATCGATTTGCTAAATAATCATTAGTTGCAGCCCTAATATATATGCATACATACACGTGTGTGTGTGTGTGATGTATTAGATGTGGTTTCACTAGTGAAAAAAACCGAGGCAGGAATTGAAATTGGTTTGGCTTCCAGTGAGTAAATGCATCACTAAGCAGTTTATGGGATATGTGCTTTGCAGTCTTTGGCTTGGTGGCTGAAGGCTATGGGCATTCTGGCAGTAGGAGGTGCTGTCCCTTTAGACCAAGGGTCACCACAATGGGGCCAGCGGGGGCCCTCAAGGACCACATGGGGGGCCCTGTGCATCATCTTCTGAAAAAAGAACAACTCACCAGCGGACTAAGTCTGAAATTTTATTTTATGCTACTGCTCTTATTTTTTTTTAATCATTTATAGAGCATTTCATCATAGCAATAACTTAGAACATTTAAGCATTTATAGGGATTTCAAAATTGGCATATATGAAATGAAATTAGAAATGAAAGAAACAATAGAAATATGTTTATTATCTATGAAGTTTAGGTGAACACTGACTCCTTCAGTTTATAGGTCAGTATTTGTAGCCCGTCCTATGCCTCAGTACCCATGAAGCAGTTCAGTCTTGGTTGGTGACCGCTGCTTTAGACTATGCATCTGGATGCTGTCCCAGGTTGTTGGTGGTGATTAGCTATGGTGGGCCATAGTCCTTCTGGAGCTTTAAAGGGATAAATCACCAGGTAAAATGGTAATGTTCCTTTCCTACTGTAGTCCCTCTGAGTTTAAGCTGTTGTTTTTGGCTGATGTCTGCTGTTTTGGTGCTGGCCTCTCAGGTTGACCAACAGATATGAAGATGGCGGTGTCAACGTGGCCACTCTGTTTAATTTCAGGTAACAAAAAAAAACCAAAACCCTTCCTATAGATATTAAGACCCAAACAAAGATAAAACAAAACCTGATTATTTAAGGTCAAACAAAGAAAAATTAAGCTAACAGGTTGTCCGTTACTTAGTCCTGGTTCCAGTCTAGATTGAATTATTAGATTTAATTCAATTCAGTTTATTTCTATAGCGCCAATTCACTACACGTCATCTTAAGTCACTTTACAGTTCACCAGATCATACAGTCAAATTGATTAAAAGGAAAACCAGTTTGCATTGACTCATTGACTGGAAGGCAATCCCTCACACTAATTTAGGATTCTATCTTTACCTAAGGGCTGAAATATTTAATCGAATTAAACTTAATTTATCGATTATTGAAATAACTAATATGGTAATTGACTAATCATTAACTGGAGTATAGAGATTCTAAAATACATCCTTTATCGGACAACAGCAAGCCAAAGCAAGCAGAAAAAATAGGAAAAAAATATTAATATTTTGCATTTAAGATAAAAAAACATTTTCATCTATGAATATGCTCTATCCAGAACTCCTCAAATGGAAATGTTTTAGTTTCAGCTGGTTTAATTCGATAAAAAAATTAAATAAATAAATAAATCTTTAAGGATCTTTTTGCTATTGATTAACTGAAAAAGTTATCGACATATTAGCAAAATAATCATTAGTTGCAGCCCTACTTTAGATATCCTTTTTTGCAAACCTAAACTCCCGTCACATGCAGGCAACCAGCTTCTCTATATAGCATGCCTGAAATGCTGACAGGATATGTGAAAAAAAAGCTGCAAAAGTAAAGAGTCCAGAAGAATCAAATCATATTCAGGATTTTTAAGAATTGTAACTAAAAACATTTGGTTTCATTAAAATAGATTACACTCTGGCTGTAATATGGGGCCTGTAAAAAGATTTAAGGTAATAAGAATCATTTCTACAAGGCATTTCCATTTAAAATACCTGCAGCCACAAAGCCGTACTTGCACATGTTGTGCCCATCAGCTTCTAGCCCCTGTGACTAGCAGCTTGTTCCTGTGTGATGCTGACATTTCAGAATAAACTTTCCCCTCCCACATGTTCAGATGTTCTCTGGCTCTGAAGTAAAACAGAAGCTGCCTTTGTCGTCCATGCAGTTATTTTGTTTACCTTGAGTCATATTTACCTTCGTTGCGGCTAAATATGTGAAGCAAAGGAGCAAGAGTTGTTAAATACGATTCTAGGCATCTTTGCACTGATTTAGTTTACAGTATATGACTCATTTTCTTTAGTAGGATGGTTTTTAAATGGCACGCCTAATCCTCATGTTAGTCGGTTTTATTTTTAACCATAAATGGTCTTTTTGAGCCGCAGAGTAATGTGGTGAAAACCTTAGAAGCCTAACTTTACTTGTTTGGTGTTTGAACTAACATATTGAGGGATGATGATTGATTGATCACAAACCGCTTTCAGACCCTGCTTATGTCCACGGGAGGAGAGGATTTCCTGAAGGAGGGAAATGTCTTTGCATCAGCAGAAGCGCAGCGATGCTCTGAACTGTTACTGTCGATTCTAGTGCATTTTGTTTGTGTGTTTCTGAAAATGTTCCCCTTTTGTTTCTGAGAAGTTCTGCCTCCAGTAATGGGATGATTACGGCTCATCTGCAAGGATTTATTGAGTGAAACTCCGTCACTTCAAATCAGAATTGATGGGCTCAAAGAAAAAGCTGTGAATCAATCAAACATCACAAACATGTTCAAAAACGTTGGCCTTTTAGACACAAACCTACACCATCATAGGGGGGATCTCAAAGGCACAGAAGTGTTAGTTAGTATAGGTGGTTGTGGTTTCCTGTGGAGGGCAGCTCCTGTTTTGTACTGTACAACAGACCCATCTGAACTATAAGACTCCCCCCCCACAGTAAGGAAGTTAAAAGAAGTTTATAAAGACTGAGGAGCAAACAACACATTTGGAGGAGATAACCCCCCCAAATAAGGCTGGAAGTGATTCAGTGCGACTTCCTCAGTTTGCAAACAACAGGCTTCCTTAAGTTATTCTTAAACAGTCTTGTGTTAAATGTTGTGCATCTCCACTGTTGTGCAACCTTCCAACTATTGCTTTACTTCCACAAAAGCCATGGTCACATGTGAGGTTTAAATCTCTTCCAGCTTTAATTCACATGGACAAAAAAGGAACTGTAAAGAAACATGATTTTTGTTTAGCTCATAAGCCAATTACAGCAACACTTGGACTTAAGGTTCAGATTCCTGTTTTAATTTATTGTATTGGAAAAACATCAGACAGATAAAGACAGTTTTGGATGATAAGGATGAAAACTCAAGTTACAGTCTATTAGAAATTAATAGATGATCTAATAGCCCAGTGGGAAAGAAAGGTCTCTTGGTTTTCTTTTTGGAGAGAAGTGCTGAAAGTTGAATCGGGCCAAGCGTCGCACATCAGGGATCTGCTCAGGCTCCTGGTCTCTTCGGGGTGAAGACAAGTCCTGGAATGCATTTTAAAACAATCCAAGTCTCAATCGTTTGCTCCTCTGTCCAATGAAGATGTGTAGGAAGACTTTTCAATAAATTCATTAATTTGCACAAACATAATCTGAAGTTAAAAACAAAAAAACAATTGTTAGATTCATTTGGCAGAAAAAACATCCCAAGGACTTCTTGATTTGGCAGTGGCTAAAAGAAGTGGGACTGTAAGTAATTTCCCTCTGGGATTATTAAAGTATTTCTGATTCTGACTGTATGTAAAACCTCAGTGGAACAGGAAGCCATCAATTTTTAATTTAGAAGTTCCAAGAAACCTATTAACAAAATAATAATAATAATAGAAACAGAACCTTCAGATAGATTCATTGTAAAATGGTGGTAAGGGTTCCTGATGATTATGTTATTGGGGATATTGTTAATAAATATTTATCTTACCCCTAAATTTATTGACTCAAATGAAAGTATTTTTTCTTATCTTTTCCAAAGCTGGTGAAAAACGGAGCTGGTCCTGTACATTTAGAGGCTATGCTGCAGGTGAGATAGATGTTACTACTGGTGTGATAGAGGTTTGTTTTAGCATTTCTTAAATTAATGCTCTGATATGTTTGTGTATTGTGAACTCTACAAAGATTCCTGAGTGGTACCTGCAGTTCTTGGCTCAGTGAGCCATCCAAGTTCCTCCTGATAGAGCTCCGCAGGTCTAGGCTGCTGGGTGGAGGCAGGATGTCCTGGCCTGCATTCGACCATCCGGAGAGACAGTGCTGCACAAGGACAAGGAGATTAAGGACAGCAAAATCCTTGAGCTGAATTCACATAGCCTCTACTTAAAATTATATTCTTGCTTCCTTCACAGGGACCGTATGAATCATATATCAATATTAAATGAAACACAGAAAGGTCATCCTTAAACAAAAGAATTAGAAAAGCTGTTCAATAATGCCTTTCTGCAGTAAAACACAAATATTAAAATCACAATTTTTGCTGCAGAGTTAGAAAATATGCTGTAAACTTGCTGGCACACCCCTTCTTGATTTTTCAACTTATGAAACCCGCAGACATCTAAATGCTGAGGTACTGGGCTACAATATAAACGCTGTTTGTTTTGTTCATTACAATATAATTTTGATAAACCAAAGTCTCAGAAAGCCTGCTAAGAATCCCCTCAATCCTGTACAAGAATCCTGTATAAACTTATGAAAACAATTCCTGTTTATAAAATTCCTCCAATATAACATCTTAGAAGTATTTACTATAGAAAACAAAATACATAAAAGTCACAAATGCTTTAAGCATAGTGCAACATCTCTTGAAATCTCAGAAACGAGTTTAAAAGTAATATTGAATAAAATTATGCTATCATTGAATTATTGTTCACCCCTACAATAAGGTAAACACAAAATTGAAGGTATGAATGATTAAAGCAACATTTTAAGTCATATTTAATGCATACTGAGAGAGAAGAGAACTCCAAGAAAACTATCATAGAAGCAGGTTTCATCTGGGGGATCCTGAGCAGGCTGGGGAAAAAAAAAACAAAAGCAAGATCTCCTCCTCTCAAGCCTTTAAAGCAATCCCCTAAAATAACCAATCCTCTCTCCCAATTCATCCATCCCGACCCCTTCCTTCAATAAACCGGTTTACTGTTTTTTTGGGGGCGTGTTCCATCCTAGTGCATTTCTCACTCACCGACGGTAATCCCAAACTGTCTGAAGGATCAAAGCTGCTTCGCCGATGAGCTTTGTACTTGTAAGGTGGCAGGAGATTGCTGCGAGGAATGCTGACCCTGTAAAAAACAAACAAACAGGGAAAACAGATAAAAAGGACTGTAACATCAGGTGTTAAAAATGTATTCACCCTTACATTTTTTAGGCTGTGATTTAGAGAAAGAAAGGCCCACAAACACTCCGATAAAGCTAATCTAGAAAAAAAAAAAAAGGATCCATAGAAAATGCTCATACATTTTATGGATTTCTAGGAAAGAAACAACCAGATAGTTCAAAGATTTATTCTATTTTCATGGAAAAAATACTTTTCCAAACTTTATATGCCTTCTAAATTTGAGTTAAAGGAGAAGTTCGGTTTTTTACACTTTAAGCCCATTTTCTGTAGTGTCCAGGATGAAATCGAATGAAGGACACCAAAATTTTGACAATTGCTCCTGTCTCTGCTTTTTGGCTCTTTTAGAATCAACCCCTGGCTGCTTTAGAATGGCTAGCATAGAGCATGTCCGATAATGTCCTTAAAACAACCTTAAACGTTCTTTTTTTAAAATATGCTACTCACCGGGTCGTCAGCGCTGTTCAATGACGTTCCAAAAAAAGTTTCGTAAAGAAAAAACGTTCCTGTAGTGTTTTATTTAGCATTTTGTAAATCCCATTGAGTTCTGTAGGAATAGTCAATATTCCGCTGCCACCGGAAACGGAAATGGAGCCTGTTTACACAGTTGTAGTCTTTTCGCTTCACTCTGTGTACTCCGACGTCGAGAATCAAGAATCCACCTTTCGTATTCCATTTTCAGAGTTTTTTAAAGTGTTTAACAGAGACGTTAGCACCTCGACGTCGGAGTACACAGAGTGAAGCGAAAAGACTACAACTGTGTAAACAGGCCCCATTTCCGTTTCCGGTGGCAGCGGAAAATTGACTATTCCTACAGAACTCAATGGGATTTACAAAATGCTAAATAAAACACTACAGGAACGTTTTTTCTTTACGAAACTTTTTTTGGAACGTCATTGAACAGCGCTGACGACCCGGTGAGTAGCATATTTTAAAAAAAGAACGTTTAAGGTTGTTTTAAGGACATTATCGGACATGCTCTATGCTAGCTATTCTAAAGCAGCCAGGGGTTGATTCTAAATGAGCCAAAAAGCAGAGACAGGACCAATTGTCAAAATTTTGGTGTCCTTCATTCGATTTCATCCTGGACACTACAGAAAATGGGCTTAAAGTGTAAAAAACCGAACTTCTCCTTTAATCAAACAAAAAGATCTGACTAGGTTTAATGCATATGTATCAACAGAGCAGGCTGTCAACAGAGATTCTGAATTACACAAAGTGAGGTGGACAACAGGATAAATAGAAATGGGAAATCTCGCAACACAAACCTCTAAGCATAATTTTTACGACAGCAGATACGACTTCCTTTTCTCTTATTTGTGTGGCTGCTAGTGGTATACTAGCAGGTAATATACTTCAATTGATTGTTCTCCCTATATGCTGCCCCCTGCTGGGTCAACAATCAGACAGAAACTGGAAGATCTGAAGAAATTTTACCATCTTAAATATCACTAACATGAATTTAAAAGCATAGGATTGTTACAGTAGTAAAAGACTGACTTTATGCTGGGAGGAAAATTAAGTGAATCATCTGGTGATTTACACAGACATCATACAGGACTACTGTATGTTCTAGAGAAAACACATTAAAGGCATGGGGAGGATTTTCATGATTTTTTTTTTTAAAAGACCCGCCCACCCTCTCCACACTCCCGAAAGAAAATAAAAAAAATCTACTTGCACAACCCTGCACCTGCTCCCAACGCCTATTAAACATGTGGAAGAGCATGCACGAGCCCATTTCTCATTGCGCACGCTCTGTTTAGAAGTTCCTGTTTGCATTGCTCATACAAGCTTACTTTCCAGGAGATTTGCAATTTTTTTCACTATGTTAGACTCACTGCCGGTAATTAGGAGGACCACTTATTTTGATAATCCAACCGACAAAAAGAACATCCTCCACTACACCTTTAATATTCCCTCAAATCCTTTCATATTTCCCATGAAACCCCTTCTCAGTCACAGAACTCATTTCCTCTATGACTGTAAACTCCAGTTCTTGTAATAACAATATTTATTCTAGATCTCCATCCTGTGTGAATCACTAAACTGTTTTAGCCCAAAATGTGCCAGAGACACACACCTACAGAATTTGTTGAAGTGAAACTTCTCGTTTGCACAAAGGCTTAGTCATTTTCTATCTACTGAATTCATCGGGACATTTGCGGGTCAGGTTAACATACAGTAAACAGTTCAACTTATTAGAAATAATTTTGCTCTAACTTTCTACTGTAATTATAGGTTTCATAAGTTTTATGACTGTCCGATAAAACCTTTAAATATAAGATCAGCTACTTATTTAAATAGTCTTCTAACCAAATACTTTTTTTATTTTATTCCATTTCATTTCTTGATTGACTGCTGTCTATCATATCTTGATTTAAAAAAAAATGCTAAAGCATAATTTCTTCTCAGTAGAATTTTGGCCTCTGCTGGTAGGAAACTGCAGCTGATATGCAAGTTCAGATCAGTATGATGGCTGCGGCAGGTCCTACAAATGCATCACTGATCAGAAAGGATGGGGGAGCGGAGCAGATAAGGCGAACAGAGGAGCAGAGGATGCCAGGAGCAAAAAGGATGCTAATGTAACTTAGAATTCTGAATAGATCAAGGATTTTCCTGCTGACAGAAAAAAAGGGAAATGTCAGATGGCTGGAGGCTCAGTGAAAACCCATTTCACCATAGGAGCCCTGTGTTCTTACTCATACTGTTATTGAGCTTCTCTAACACAGAATTCAGTACTATATTTCAAGTTTTCATACTCTGGACTTTATCTTTGTCTTGGAAATGTTTGTGAAATAGACCATTCATTAGGGTGAAGTACAGAGACTCTGAAGGGCCAGATAAAAAATCCCTCAGTGGCACCAGGTAATCATAACCCCTACAAAAAAAGGAGGTCAAAGTTTGAATCATTAGTACCTTATCAGGGCGGGCTCATTCTCAGGGTGAGAGGATTTGGGCTTTTTGCACACTGGACAGCATTCCTCAGAGCTTAGTGGGACAGGAAACAGCCTGTAGTTGATCCTGTAGGAAAAAGTACCTGAACAGAAGGGATGAACACATGAGGGAAGTGTTGGACCAGCTGTGATCATCAAAACAATGAGGCGAATAGGAATAATCCATCTCACACTGATGAGTGTCTGTGTTTGCTTCTTTGTCATCCTCATCCCGTAGGAGTGGCGGGAAAAGACGGCTTTCCTCGAAAGATCTGAAACGAGTCAGTGGTTTGAATGACATCGCTGCCGTCAGTCACAGACACCTTGTTACTGATGAGCAAGGCGGTAAGGAGACTCACTCTACTGGTCCAGGGTGAACACACTCGTCTTTATTGATTGATCGAAATGTACGGAGATCTTCGAAGAACTCGTCAGAGCGTTCCAACAAGGAGTCCTCGGCATCTAGAACTCCTTAGGAAAAAAAGAAGACCCCTGTCAATCTTCTGCAATGGTATTAAGGTACAGGGTGAAAGGCTGATCACTAATACTTTCTTCTGATTTGCTTTCCAAAGAGCCACTCTTCGATAACTACAGTTCACTAGGCTTTATTTTTATTTTACCTGCTTTTTTAACTAAAAAAGCCAAACCATGTTGGCATACTGTGTCTGCTGTACAAATGGAGGAAATCGAAAATGGAAAAGTGGGAAATAATATAAGACCTAAAAATTATCTATACTAGATGTAAAATATAGGACCTAAAATAAGACCTGAGAAATAAGCATCTATGTTTGTATTTTTTTTTTTTTATTGTATAGTTGTCCAATTTCCCTAAGGAAAGGGAGCAGGGGGCTGCACACACAGTGATGCTGGGCGAGTATTCTAGGGTTTAGGGGTCTTACTCAGGGACCCTTGTAAAAACTATTTGAGCTAAAACCCAAGTCATCTACTTGGTATTTTAATATTACATTAAGCAAAAAAAACAAAAAACTAAATATCTACAGCAAAATATGGATTTCTGATTAAATTACATTTAAGAAAAAGAAAAAGTTGTGAAAATTAAGTGTTTATCTGCACTTTCTCATAGTTTGTACCTCACTGAACCAGTGGCCCACATGGCAAAGTATAGCCTGAATCTGTTAACATGTAGAAACAGGTTTGGTGTCGGAAAGAAAAACCTTTTTTTTTTTTCCCCCCTTACATTGGTAAAACCAGTTAAACCCTAACAATAGACAATCACTCTCATTTTGTTAGATGAAATTAGACTAAACTACTCCTAGTTCCCTGATCCAACTTCTTCTGCTGAAGCAAATCAAATACTGTTGATTTAATAGAAATATGAAGGCCTTACAGAAATGTCAGGTACCTAAAAACCAAACCACTGTGAAATATAACAACATATTGAGGCAATTTGGAAGGGAAGTGTAAAGAATTAAAATATAAATCAAGGTCTCAATATGTGTGTGTGTTTCCTTGTGTGTCAGCTTAATAAAAGAGGTTTACCCGCTATCCAATCATATCCAAGTAAAGGCTGCACATGACGTCTGTCTGACACAGGTTGGTTTTCAAATTCACCTGACTGGACCCCGTCTCCTTGTCGGACGTCCTTCTGTAAAAGAAAACAGCAACCATCATCTTCCAATCCAATCCGTTTCAACAAAGCAAAAGAAAGAAATTTAGATCCCTTTTTACATAGTTAAACCAAAAGAAATAAAGACTTTCAGGACAATGGTGACTGCATACATGAGTAAAAGTTAAATAAACTGTTTTGAACAAGGAAAAGATTGGAAATTCCAAATAATGACTCAAATATCTAAAACAAAAAACACCCAATGAGTAAAATTTCCAGGTAGGGATCTCCGGTAAGATTTATCAGCAGTGACTTCCACATTTTAAATGTTTACTCTGAAAGTTCAGCGTACTCAAAAACTAAACACTCTGATTTGTTCATCCTGGCAAACAAACCATTTGATAAAATACCAGTAAAGCATCATTAGTTTACTGTGAACTGGTGAGTGAAGGTCAGCTTTGCTTTAAAATAAATGAAAATTAAATAAAGTTTTTATTCATATAGAGTGACAACTGTCTTCTTCTGACTGCTTTACTCAAACAGGCTTAAATCGATACATATTTTTAGATTTGAATAGTTTTATTTAAAAATTTAAATAGATTTATTTTTAAACATTTAAATAGTGTAAAGTCTGATTCAGTGCCAGTGAATGAAAATGTGTCAGTTTAAGGAAGCAGGAAGGCAGCTTGTACTTCCTCTTAGCTATGTTACATTTTAGAGGTAAACATGTAAACTTTAGAAATAGGTTTTTTTTTTTTATTCCTTAATAATATATTGTGTTTTCTGTTTATCTAAATACACAACTGAGATCAATGCCAGATGTCTTTGTCTCAAGTTATTTTAGGGATAAACTCGTTCTAAGCTAGATTGGGTCATTTAATAAGCTAGATATTAAACTGGTGATCCAGTTTTGCTTTGGCTGCTCCAGTTTCATTTAACAGGATCACTGTGCACAGCCACAACTTAAAACCCCTTTTAAAGGCTTACTTATTTTCCATTTGCATCTAGATCAATCTGACATCATAAGCATTGCCCTTCATTCTTTGCTTCGTTTTGAATATTTTATGCACACATTTGATATTTCACTATGAAGTATTGCTCCATTTCATTGCACAACATAGCCAGTGTGTTGTTTTAAATGTGGTATCTATGCTATTTGACCTTGAGAGAGAGAAACCACATATAAAATAATGAATGGCATTAAAAGCTCTGCATCGTTGCAGAGAGGCTTTCACTCACTAAATGATAAAACCCCACATCTGTTAAACATCTGTCAGCTTTCTCTGATAAAGAGTAATGAATAAGAGCGGCTGGACGGACAAGTTTAAGAGCCCAGTGACCACAGCAGGTTTTATCATTTAAAAAAAAACACCAAAGAATATCCCTGATAGAATATCCCTCATGGAAACAAAAAAAACTCTCCCCCACCTGTTTCCCTCTTTTTCTATTGTATTCTTCAGGTAATTTACCTTTACCACAAGTATTGGAGGAAAACATGCCTGGTCTAAAACAACAACAAAAAAAAACCCATGGCTGTTTGTACTGTCCAAAAGTTTTTGTTGTTTCAGTTTTAGAACAATCCCAGCAATAAAACTTTTATACAGGAACTAACCTTATCTTTATATTACATTAACTGAGTATGATTGATTTAAATCAGCTGATAGAAACGTTAGTCAACAGAGAAACAAGTGCCCCAGATGACCTCTAAAAGTCTAAAAAAAAAAAAACTGGGTGTTCACACCTTCATATGAGGTGCTCCACTATAAGGTCGTGATCAGATCGCTCAGATGACAGTTTCAGATGTGACCACAGCCTGTATACAAAAATACTGTAATTTGGCATATTTTGCAGGTGGCTACAAACAAACAGCTGCTGCGAGCTCATGTTTATGTGCTTACCTGGACTTTACTGTGCATTACTTTGGAAGAGCAGATACGGAGCGGCCTGGTGTCCTGCAGAATAAAATTGTCCCGAGGATGTCTGAGGTTGTCTGACAGGGTTGTAGGTTCAGCAGAATGACTGTAGGAATCGTGACGGGTGGAGCATTGGTGCATCTGTTGCTTATCTGATAAAAAACATGAAGGAAATGTTTAGGAATTTTTAATCGCTACATGCATTTAAAAAAATATCACTGAATTACTAACAAGTTAATTTGTCTCTTAAAGCTGCACGAAAATATAACAGAGAAACTTTGGACAAAAAAAAAAAACACAAATAACACTCAATATCTGCATCTTAATCATAATTTGTATTTTAAACAATATGGTTTATAATGAATGGTTATTACAAATGTTAAACCTACTTTAAATTAATCAAATTGGGTTTTTTTAAACTCATTTCTACATTCTACTCAACCTTTATCTAAAGTACAATTATCCTCCATCCAGTAGGTGTCGCTGTGGTTTATTGAAACAAACAACCTTTAATATTTTCAATTAGCCCTGTGCAAGTTTTGTGAAAATGTATCTATTAGCTGTGTTCACGATTAATTTAAATTAACAGTGATAAATCTTGACATATATATTTATTTTGTAATGACTTCACTTTTCGGATGGCAAGGATAGAATCCTAAGTATGCAGTTCCTTAGAAAATCTGCTCTTACTTTTCTTTTTTTTCCCATAAAAATTCGTTGTATTTTATGCTCTCGATACAGAATAAGGAAAACGTCTTATGGAGGGAAAAATATCGCTCCGTAAATGTATTTACCCGTAAATCTGACTGAAGGTTTTAATAATGCTGCCCTGGCAGGGACCTGGTCTCCCTCCGGCAGAGTCACCATCACTTCGGGTCTCTGCTCTTCCGCGTCCTCGTCCTCTCTCCCTCTGCTGCGGCTCAAACTGCAGCCGCTCATTCGCTCTAATTTCTCTCTTCCAAACAAATGCTTGTTACGCTCCCGCATGGAATCTATTCTATATGTAGACATAACAAACATACAAAGTAGAACTACCTGTGTGAATTTACCAAACACGTACGGATTATGGGTTCACATTTTTTTTAAACGCTCAGACTCCAACATCTCCATGACAATGCATTGATAACACATTATGATTGGCTGAGAATATCCCATACGTAGATACACAAGCTTTTCTTAAAGGGACAGCAGAACATTTCGGTCAAGTTGCGTTAGAGAGCGGTGAACAGCAGAGGGCGCCGCAGAGTCGCCGTGGCATGTTTCTTTTACGACCAAGGATCTGGGTTTGGTGTTTTAAAAGCCTCTTCAGAATCTGGTTGTCTTGTTTGGCCTGTATAAATAACTTTTTAGCAGATGTGGAGAGTACCCACAAATTTTACTCAAGAGTAGCACTATTCCAATGTATTGTTAATGAAGCCAAAAGTAAAAAAGAAAAAAGATATTTAGATACGAGTAAAAAAGGCTACTTTATAAAAAGGCAAGTCAAGTGCTGAGTAACTGTTGGTTACAAATTTGATATTGAAAAAATATTAATGATAAATATCTATATTATATTAAATATCAAAGCTTTTGTAGGAACAAGAATATTGATTTTAATTCTAAGCTTATCTGGCTTTGTCATCATAATATTACTCAATATTGTGCAGTATTTTTTTTTATTTTTTTTAAAGGTTACTTAGGTAAATATAACAAGTTATTCACCTCTGCTTTTAAGTAATGTGGTGAAAAATCTTTCGGCTCCCTAAATGCACCAGGGAGCGTTATCACAGATCCTTCCTCCCAGCACCTAAGACTTTATAACCATCACTGTTCCCCAACAACCTCAATAAGTTCTAACATTCATGCTAATTTTTCCACAGTTTCTGTCTTAGCCAGTTAAATAACATGCTGCTGTCATTTATTTATTTTTTATTTTTTCCTCATCTCTGGTGGCATTGCTGCTATTTTTCACATAGCCATCCATCCACCTATTTTCCGTCACACTTATCCCAAGCGGGGTCAACACCAGTGTTGGTGCCTATCTCCAGCTGCCTACTGACGAGAGGTGTGTTTTTTTTTGCAAACAGCTCTGCTCAGTCAATCTAAAGCTAAAAGTCAAATAGTTTTTGTCCTGGATGTGTGGGATCTGCAGAGATTTTGAGTGTCTTTATCCTGATCCCACAGCTGTACTTGTGACGATCTCGGCACTGGTGCTGGCTTAATCTCCAACTCCTCACACCTGCTCACTCCACCCTGCCTGCAATTATCTCTAATTGGTCCCACCTCTATATATAGCTCATTTGGATCTGTTCCCAGTGCCAGATCGTCTCAAACCATCTTTTGAGTACCTTCCAGCTCTTCTACTTTTTGCCTGCCTACCTGTTACCTGACCTGTTTTTCCCTTTTTTCTCTCCGAGCCTGCCAAACCCCTTATCTGATTCTGACTGCCTGCTCTGAATCCAAACCAGTAAACGGTAGTGATGTGCAAGTGAAGCCTCATGAAGCAATGAAGCTTTCCAACGCAAAGTGTTAAAAAAAGTTCATTACTCGATGCTTCATTCATCACTCACTAGTGACATCTGCTGGTGAAACTGTAACAGCCTTGTAACTCAGTTGGATCATACTTCCAAATATTAGGAAATGCAATATTGTCACAAAGTTTTCACCAAACTCATGTTTAGTAAGAGGAGAATCCTATTCAATTGTCATGTTTTAATTATTAAAATGATTTGTAGCCAATCTAATCCTTGACCATCAGTGGTGGTGTTAGGTTTTCTTTTATGTCATGGACTTATTAGACAATGAAGATGTGTTACTTTAATGTATTGAGAACTGAGTGACTGTTGCTGCAGACTCTGTGTACTTTGAGCTTGAAACGTGCTTCCTTAAAGACAGAATGTGTTTAAAATCATCTCTTCCTAGGAGTTCTAGTTCTGATTCTTAATATTAAGTTACACATAGAGTTTGCCTCTTCTAATGGCTTTTAGTCTGGTTTTGATGTGTGATTCTGATGCATCTCCTGATTAAACAAAAGAAAATATAGAAATTTCTGGATTTTAGGTTTAATTGTTTTTATTTAGGAATAGGACTTTTTTCACTGTTTCAGGTTGTGATCTGTCATCTCATAATACTCCCACATATGAGAGGTTTTTCTCTTTTTTGACGGCTCCATTTCAACCACTGCTGATGAAAACTGTTCTGCTGATACCAAACCACCTACTACAACCCACGAAGAAACAGGATTCATCGCGCTTTTATTTTGAAAACCGACACGCAAAATGAAGCAGTCACGTGACCAATGCAATGCGAGGCCTCGTTTGTTGCCAGTCACGTGGTTTTCAACAAGACAACACAGGCCTCGAAGCGGGGCTTCATTGACACGCCCCCTTATTACTCGGTACAAGCCTCGAAGCCTGGCTTCAGATAGCCCATCACTAGTAAACGGACCCTCGAACGGACCTGGACCTCTCTTCTGGATTGCCCCTCTGTACCTTCGCTTGGACCCCGTCTCTGAATCCACAAACAAACTGCCTCTGGAGCTCATCGGCCTAAGCCCTCAGCTAACCATCCGCCGCTCAACGGCCACCGTTTCCACAAGCCCCTTCATCGATCGGACTCCTGCCCCGGACCCTAAGCGGTGCTAATCGCCCACCCTGCGACCCAGTAACAGGTTAGTGATCCAGCCTCAGTTCCTCTCTAGCTCTCTTATTGCTGATCACTAACCTGTTGTCTCTGCCACAGGGGATTTCCTGACCGAGAGCCGCCTGTACGCCCCCTGCGCCTTCCATTATAAATAAAAACTGTTGCATTCTACTTACCGTTCTGAGTTGTTTCCTGGGTCCAAAATCCTGTACGTTACAGTACTAGGCCTGGATAGAGGGAAGGGCAGCCCTGATGATTCTCTTTGTAGACCTCTTTATTTGTACCAGGCTGGACCTGTCCTATTTTTAGATGAGCCAAACCTCACTATAAGAGGGATACGTACAGGTCAGACTGAATAATAGAAGAGAAGTGTGGTCCTCTTGAATTTACCATCAGTGTGTGAGATCATTTAACAAAAAAAAACTAGTATTGTCTTTCTAATTATAATGAATCCGTTATGATGTCGTTTTTTTTTTTTTTTTTTCTTTGAAAACCCAAACAAGCTAAACAAGATGATAAAAACATTTGAAGTCTAACTAGGGTAAAACTGTTTAAAATACCTCTTGAAAACAAGTGACCACAAAACACTAACAAAGAAACAATATTGCTGCAAACACTGATTCAAAGTTAAGAGCTCTTTTTTTATGTTAGTTTAGGGTTAGTTTAGGGTTCCCATTAACAAATTGCTGAACTTACTTATATTTTGCATTTTCCAGACATGTGAGGGTCTGTCAGTTTAGAGGAAACTTTTATGCAGTCTTAAAAAACAACAACAACAAAATACAGAAAGACTGGGGGGTCTTTTTAATAAAATCACTAACAAACCCTCTGAGATGCAAGGAAACTAGATTCCTTCTGTTCCCAACCTGTTATGGTTAAAATATCTCTTGAGTGATAAAAGTCAGAGCATCTTCTTCCAAGGGTAGAGATTTACTGCAAACAAATTTACAACATGGAAAGACAAAAATCAGTTGTAACTCTGCAATCCATCTAAGAACAGACAGTTTCACCTTGAAATACTTTAATATGATAGTACCAAGTTCAAATAGCTTTGTTTTATAGTTATACTCACAAATAACATAACCAAATTCAGACCTAAATACAAACAATCAAATGTAATCCAAGTCAAACAGAATCATAAAAAATGTGTCTGTTGGAGTTGCAGTGATTCCACACAGCCATGGAATATTTAGCAATTCCCCACTCTGAGAAAGCATGTTGGAAGACAGCAGGGGATTTGAAACAGCAGGAAGCAGAATGGAAATTGTAAAAGTGCTGGTCGGAGACTACCTTTTATAGGACTAAAACAGAGAATACACAAAGTTAATGGGGGTGATAAATTCAGTAAAGGCCCAATCAAGAAAAGAGATACAGTTGAACCAGGACATACAGAGCCATGAATACTTTCTACTGGTGAATATCAGCAATGGCCACACAAGGTAACTGGCACCAAAAAAACAAAACAAAAAAAGTACGCCTACTTTCTAGTGGAAAAATTACAAAGTTAATGTCAGCATTATGTTCATGAAAGACTTGAACAGAAAAAGAGACAGAGCAAAACCTATGCTCTGTTCGAATTCCTAGGACGTATCCTTAGAAGGCCAGATTCAAAGGACGCTTACGTCATAGCGCGGCGCCGAGGTCTGGTCGGATTCCAAGAGTCCTCGTTATGTGGCCTTAAAATGCGTCCTTCTTTTTGCCCAATTTGAAGGACGGGTCCGATGTATCCTCGCTATCCTTGGATATCTCAGGAATTATTGCGAATCGAACTAAGCCCTATAACGATGCCCCACGCTCGGAGGAAAAACAAAAAATGCCGACGAATAGTGGCGAAAGTTGTAAGTAAACCTTGATGTCATACAAGTATTTAAAGCAAATAAAAACAATGAACATTGCATAATTCAGAAGCACCAAAAAGGTTTTACGTGCTATGGTCCTGAAATGTAAGCAAATTCACTGAGCCAATAGTAGCAATATCTCTGTCAACTGTCCCATTCAGGAAAGGCACACAGATGATGACACAAGCATTGAGCAAAGGTAAAACATAGACTTACATTAAATGGAGGAAAGCTCTGTCAAAGGCTCCTCCTAGAAAGCACCAACTGCTCAACAACGAACCGCTGTGTCCTTTGCAATTTTTATGGGAAAGAAAAAACAACACAATGCACAAAGTTAATAGCAGTAGCATTGCTGCACAGTACGTATAAGGCTCCATTTAGGAAATAAATATGGTTAAAACAAAACTGCTGAGTCAGGACTACATTCTATGAGGAGAAACAACAGAATGAAGGCAACGTTATTCATTGTGATAATTGCAAATGATACTTAGAGTTAATTGAGAGTACCTGGAGAAAATAAAGTAAGCTAATTGGATTGTTGGTTAAACTCTT